TAAACTTCTACAATATTCTATTATAATATTAAACACGTATTGCCATATCCGATATGTACAGATAAATAAGACTCATGAAATCATCGGAATGGTTTAAATTCCGAGGGAACGAATTGTTCAAATTGAGAGAATGAATCATAATCCGAGGATTGAGTTAGCTGAGGGAACGAATTGATAATCTGTTTAAACGAATTGGCAATGTGTTACAATATATTGTCAATCTCAGAGAACGGACTGTCTAATTCGAGAACTCGGTTTACTTTTATCCATTAAAAAAAAATCCTATGTCCCTTCATGGCTTTCTTATATACCACCTAGAGCATTGAAAATATTGAGAAGATATAAGAGAAAACCTGTTTAAACTTAAAACAAGAGGCCCAAGGGCTTTGAATCGCTCTTCTGATAAATTGTACAACATATCACTTGTATTTGAAGCCTCTAATCTTAAGTATCCTAAGACCCAAGTTGCATCAACTGACAAAATTTGATGATTCTTAGCCAATTAGGACTGAAGATATTTTAATAAAGCTATAAAAAACCATGAGAAGGTCACAGTGACCTACTTTAAGAATGAAGTTTTCTGAGGACTCAAGATGCATTAATAGAATAACTAAGATTGAAGATTCGAAGCCAGTAAGTATTTTAAATATTCAAAAGTAGGTTATCTTGGCCTACTTTTTGGTCGACATTCTCTGAAAACCCAAGAGGCATCAACTAATAAAGTTTGATGATTCTTATCCGCTAAGTACCAGAGATACTTAAATATAGCCATAACATGTCGAAAGTAGGTCATCGTGACGTACTTTTTAGTCGTCACTCTCCGAAAACCCAAGATGCATCAACTGACAAAATTTGATGATTCTAAGCCAATACGTACCAGAGATACTTAATTATAGCCAAAAAATGTCAAAAGTAGGTCACCGTGACCTACTCTTTCGTTGGCACTCTCCAAAAACCCAAGATATATCAACTGACAAAGTTTGATGATTCTAAGCTAATAAAAATACCTGGGATACCTAAATATAGCCATTAAATGTCAAAAGTAGGTCACTGTGACCTATAATTTGCTCGGCACTTTCCGAAAACCCAAGATGCATCAACTGACAAAGTTTAATGATTCTAAGCCAATAGGTACCGGAGATACTTAATTATAGCCATAAAATGTCAAAAGTAGGTCACCGTGGTCGTCACTCTCTGAAAACCCAAGATACATTAACCGACAAAGTTTGATGATTCTAAGCCAATAAGTACCAGAGATACTTAATTATAGCCATAAAATGTCAAAAGTAGGTCACTTTGACCTACTTTTTGGTCGGCACTTTCCCAAAACCCAAGATGCATCAACTGACAAAGTTTGATGATTCTAAGCCAATAAATACATAAAATACTTAAATATTGCCATAAAATGTCAAAAGTAGTTCATCGTGACCTACATTTTGGTCAACGTTTTTCAAAGTCTTAAGATGAATCTGCCGATCAAGTATGATGATCGTAGGTCTGAAGGTTATCAAAATATTCCTATTAAACAATTTGAAAACAAATGACTGCAAAATTCTAAAAGTAGGTCACAGTGACCTACTTTTTCTTAAATAGGTTTTAAGGTCCCAAGATGTAGCAACTTACAAGATTTGATGATTCTAACCCTCTTGTGTCTTAAATAATGGGATTAAATGTTTTAACAAGGATGTCATAAAGTTCAAAAATTAGGTCACGGTGACCTGCTTTTACGTTGACGTTGTTCAAGGACCCAAGATGCATCTACTGAAAAAATTTGATGATCATAGGCCTAAAAGTGTCCAAAATATGCCTTCAAATCAATTTGAAAACAAATGCCTGCAAAATTAAAAAAGTAGGTCACCGTGACCTACTTTTGAGTTAACATGATGTGAAGTCCCAAGATTCATCAACTTACAAGATTTGATGATCCTAGTCCTAATAGTAAGCAAAATATCAACGTTTTTATTAATTGTAAATTTAGGTCAAATTTGAAGTGACCTTGAGACAACGCCCTTTGCCCCAGGCCATGCCATGCCTTGAACAATTTTTAATTTTCAACATATCCTGATCCTTGTATGTAAGTTTGGTGAAAATCTGCCTGGTGGTTCTGGAGAAGAATATTTTTTTAGCAACCAGTACTTTAGGTTTTGTTTTCCTGATTATTTCCCCTTGTTTTAGGGTACCAACCCTTATTTTGGTATAAATGGTAGCCCTTGGGCCAAGGATACCCTGTGACAAGTTTGAAAATGATTGGCCAAGGGGTTCTTGAGTTATGGCCCATATTCTAAAAAGTTAACGCACATCGAACAAATGGCCATAGCATAAGCTCTTTGAGCCTTTGGCTCAGAAAAGCTAATAAAAGCTTGGAAGCTAAGATAATACGAACAAAACGGAATAAAAGACTACTTGTAACACTGCCAAAAAGGGAGACCCAATTTGCAGTGAAACAGTTTACTGTACTGGTATAGCCCTGCTGCCAGTAGCTAGCAAGATCCTATGTAGAGAAATACTGAATAGGAAGAAAGATACGATGGATAAAGTTTTAGGGGATGAACAAACAGGTCACCTGGATAAGGAAGAGAGCGTTACAAGTTTTAGGAACTAGTACAAAAAATGTCTTCAAATTGACAGATAGGCATTAGATCCGACAGAAGAGACGGAATTGCAACCCTAAGAATAATCGCAGAGCAATCTGTTGAATGGCAATCATCTTTGTATATATTTTATCGACTTAAAATATGCATTAAATGCATTTGACCATGCCATTAGAGATGGAATGTGGCAAATGATGATACACTATGGGATACGATCGAAGATAGTGAATATTATCGAGACTCTATGAAGAATTTTCAGTACAAGTTACATACACGGGAGATCTCACTGATAGTGATTCCTTTAAGTTAAAACTAGAGAGAAACAAGGCTGCTTTCACTCACCTATTATGTTCCTACAGTGATAGACTGGATCATAATGCTGTTATTCGACAAACCAAGGCCAAGGACAGTGGTCAGAAGATAAGAAGACTTGGATTTTGCCGATCACCTTGTCCTAATAATAATAATAAGACACCAGAGAAGGGAACAACAATTTAACAACAAGTTAAACGGAATTGAAAAGAGAATAGGGTTCAAAACTAAAAGACTAGAAAAGATGGACCAATCAGAACTGGGGGGAAGAAATTTACTGACCGAGCGTCCATCATTCAGACGAAGACATTTAAGTCAGAATAAGCAAGGCCCGACAGGCTTTCGCAATGCTTAAATCAGTCTTGAATACCAGTGCACTAAATGAAAGCACCAAGATCCAAGTATTTCATATCAATATTTTACATGTTTAATGAATTCTTTTCTACGGATGTGAAATCTGAAGATTAGCGGCAGGACTACAACAAAAATCCAAATATTTACCAACCAATTAATGACTTCAACACATCTGTAATGTGATGCGGCCAATATCAAACGAACAGCTACTGAAACGTACCAAGAACCAATATCTCTCCAAATCAAGAAACAAGCATCACAGCGTTTTGGGCAGACTTGGACATGGCCCCAAAACGGCATCATCGGCGAGGCATTGGACTGGACTGGAATACACAAGGTCAAAGAAAACAAGGGTGACCATTACACAACTGGAGGAAAACAAGAAAGAAAAAGCTTGAAAACATTGGAAAGACGTAGAAGGAAGCAAAAGAACAGTATTGTTCGACAGAGCAACTGTAGAAGAAATGTGCTCCACAAGGAACGAAGATGATTAAGTAAGTACCAAAGTAATTTAGTTATATAAATTGAAATGCATGATAAGCTCACCTGAGCTGAAGGCATTATGATTCCATCGCATGTTTGATCTCATCAAATTGACTATTCACAGGTCTCAGGAAACTGATGAAGAAAACGGTGAGTAGTATTACTACTTTGTACTCTGAAAGTTATCTGTATTATCAGAGGGTCGCCATCCTTTCAACAATATTTTGAAGGCATCTTAGCAACCATGCAATAAAACGGTTGAAAATTTAAGTAAGTATATAATTCCTATATATGACACCCCCTTTCCAAAATAGATAATTGAATAAATGTTGAATCAACTGCTTTTCAACATATAATCAACGTTGATTATCAATGTTGATTCAATGTTAAGACTTCAACGTTGATACAAATTTTCAAAATCTAACATAAAATTAATGTTGAATCAACATAAAAAAACAACGTTGATTTAAAGTTTATTCAATGTTGTGTGCCCGCTGGGTAGTTACTTGGAAATAAAACCTACCCAAAAACTGCACCAAAAATGTTAACCTGCTCCAAAAACATTAACCTGGTCATTCCTTTGCTGCAATTGCAGTATCTGAAACTTTGACTGGTACAATGAAACACACTAGAACAATTTTCTATGCATGTCTAATTAATATAGGTCATAGAAGTACTTATAAAAAAAACTGCTCCAAAAAAATTAACCTTAACCTGGGACGCCGACGCCGACTCCGAGGGTATTACATAAGCTCCCCTAACTTCGTTGAGGTGAGCTAAAAATGAATCTCGATATAGAAGCATGCTGATATATCATTTAAAAATAAATATGTTTAAAGGAATTATGTAAGGTACTTTACTTACTGATAATTCTCCCAAGATATTCTTCATTTAATAATATAGTGCTATCAGATGTTTATAAATAAAAAAAATCAGCATGGATTACCAGAATTTTTTGGGGAAGATATCTAATTATATATTTTTTTTCTATTATTGAAAAAAAAATACAAAATTACCAAACATAAATTTCAGATTATTTTTCCATCAATTTTTTTAAGAAGAGGTGTACAAATCCATATGTAGAAATTAAAAGTATTGTGCACATGTCCTTCATTTAGTGGAACTCTTCAACTCCACGGAAGAGCCCAATAAAGTTCAAACTACGTTCCATATGACCTTAATTAATTTGTATAACTAATGAATTATATAGAGCATACAACACAGTGATGTATTTCAATGCAAATATTTAACTTTCTTTACTTGTGTGTTTCTATATTGAGCAACAAACAGATTGTCAATTGTATCTGTACACAAGCCTTCGGGTTGACTTAGCCCACAGTCTATGTAACGGAGGAACTGTCCATTCTGGTCTATGATGTGGACACAGTCATTGTCACAATCAGCTGTAAGGATGTGACTCTGACTGTCTGTAGTGATTCCTCGTGGATCGAATGGTTGGTTATTTAGAGCAGGAATATGTCCAGTGTATCTGAATCTCAGTTTCCCGACCTGATTGACCACAACTACTGCTCTAGTTTTCTCATCAGACATACAGATATCCAGGTTCCTGTTCTCAGTTATGTATCTGTAATAACCATCAGATGAATAAAAAAGTTTACCTTTATTATCAAACTGACTCATTTGCTTCTCTGTGGAGCCAGAGTAACTGACAACTTTTGTTTGATTTTCATTTTTACTACACACGATAACCAGTAGGTCACCAGAGGAGGTACAACAAACACCACGAAATTTCCAGTTCTCCGGTCCATGTAGTCTGATCAACTCCTCTACTTTATCATTTTTCACAATGTTCACAGTTCCATCATTTTAAATCAGTATAAACTAGATCTCCACATTTGGTCACTGCTATGTTAGTTGACACTTTTCCCGACGTTGATGTGATTGACTTGAGTAGTGATCCCTGATTGATGCTGAAGAGTTTCATGGTGCTGTCACTTCCACTTGTCCAGATTTCTTCACTACTCAGACAGGCCACATTGTATAGATAACCCCTATACCCAGTGTCTATGGTGGTGACAGTCTCTGGTTCATTTAAGAGCTGTTTGACTGGAGGAGAGGATCCAGCTTCTGGTGATTTCTGTATTGTCTTCATGCTGTAGCCATGTTCATTTGATGTTAAATAACCTGATGCTAAGGATCCATACAGTTTAATTAAGTTTTCTCCTTGGATTTTTCCCGGTTTGAATTTGGGTAAAGATGGCATAATTTTGTGTGGAAGATTTCTGTATATATCTACATTGGATGTAACACTAAACAGTTTTGACAAGTCATTAGTGTCTATAGCCATTTCAACCGAATTGATTTCATCCTTGATGCCAGCCATTGTCTTGTTTATTTCATCCAGATGTTTCTGTAGAGTTTGTAATTGTTTGTTTTTCATCTCATCAACTTCAGCTTTAAGTTTCTTGACAAGTTTGTCAATTTCTCTGTGCCAGTCCTCTCCATGTTTTGTAATGGCTGTTGAGAGATCCCCATATTCCTTTTCTAACTGACTCATTCTGTTCTGTACATCAGAGGCAATGTCATGGTAGGTTGGATAAATTGTTTCATTTAATTCAGTTACATCTTTCATAATTTTGTTTCTTTTTTCATCTAAGATTTGTAGAATTTTTGAATATTTATGACCGAGATGATGATCAGATGCAATACATGTGTTGCATACAGGAATGTCACATTGATTACAGTACATTTCACATCGTTCTTCGTCATGGGAATGGGATTCACATCCAGGGAAGAGAAGAGTAGATTTCCTGGAGTCAAATTTGACGACTTTGTGGTCCTTGGATTCATCTGTTGAGATGTGTTCTCCAACGCAGGCCTTACACAGGTTGACAAGACATGTATCACAGTGCATCTGTACCACAGCGGTCTCACACAGGTCACATAGCATCACGTCCTGGGCACTGGTACGGGGGTCCATGATAAATTTTAAAGCGGGATCAATATACTAGCAAATCTGAAAATAAAAGAAATGCATTATTATTAGAAATAATTACATGTAAGTTCCAGACATTTATCCAATACATCCCAGTAGACTTGAGAGAAAAAGATGAATTTGTTTGCAATGGTTAAAACCTACTAAAGTTTATCTATAACTATTCTCTGATCACTTGATACCATGTATTATATACCTGTCAGGTGTTTATACGTTCTGGATAAAAGCGAATTTGAATACCAGCTTGCTATTCAAACTGCTCTAGCATTTTTTTTTAATTTTGATTAGAATTAAGTACTAGTATGGACATCATAGTTTTAATTTTAAAAAAATCAAAACTATTAAAATATATGTCCATAGGACATGAATGCCCCGTCGAGAGTGTATTAGTAATGCAACATGATAATTTGAATGAAATTTGATCAGAATACCTTGAAAAGTGATGCAGTTGAATTGCTTACATCAGTATAATCAACATATGAAGTTGAAAATTTCTTGTAAATGGTTTGTTTAAAACTGAATAACGCCAATTTGATAACCTGGGGTTAAGGTCAAACGAAAGGTCAAGGTCAAAAATGTTGATAGAGTTGAAATGCTTATATCAATATGTATCGCCATATGAAGTTTGACAATGATTTAGTAATGTGAGGTCGAGGTCAAAGCAAAGGTCAAGGTAAAAAATGTTGATGCAATTAAATAGCTCTAATCTATGTGTATCAAAATATCAAGTTTGATAAAAAAGACGATGAATGATTTATTTAAAACTGACTTGAACATAATTTGATACAAGTGAACTCAAGGTCAAATGAAAGGGCAAGGTAGGAAATGTTGATGTAGTTGAATTGCTTACATCAGAATGTATCAGCATATGACGTTTAAGACTAATTTAAGAAAAGTGAGGTCAAGGTCAAAGGAAATAAATGTCAAAAATGTTGGTGCAACTGAATAAATGTAGCTCTCATCAGTATGTATCAACATGTGAGTGTAATAACACCATCTTGAATGGTGTGGTTAAAACTAAGCTAAACACTTATATAAGGAAAAGTGAGGTCAAGGTCAAAAAATGTTGATGCAGTTGCATAGCTCTCATTAATATCTATCAGCATATGAAGTTTGATGAAAATATCTTGAATAGTTTCTTTGAAACTGAGCTTTGAAGAGAGCTAAACGCAAAGTGTGACGGAAGGACAGATAGAAGGACGGAAGACGGACATGAAAAAAACCCCTATATGCCCCGGCCATATTAATGGCGGGGCATGAAAGTAATATACTTGCTTTATTATTTAAAGTTAGAAAAATACAGAATCATAAATTTTCCTTTAAGTTTTGGAACTCTTCATCTCAAGTGAATATGACATTGGAGATATGATATGGAGATAACCAACAGTACTCAAGCCCAAAATCTATTATTACGGCAAACACGGACCTATTAAACATTAGAAGTATGTTCAGATGACATGGAGGAATGAGTATCCACTTCAATTCCGACCGGTCACACCCAGCGTGTGCTCAAACTATATTGGGTATGTCCTGAAATATAGTTAACCATAGTGAAACTTAAATAAAGGCGTTAATGTAAAGTATAATATCTGTATAATGAATTGTTTGGAATTTTGCCTGGCTGATATACAAGAATAAATTGTAAAATTATCAAAGACACATTTTTCAGAACAATCATTATGAAAGTATTGCATAAGCAATACATGTCCCCTACCAGGTTCTCCTTTTTCTTCAGGATGTCATTTTATAATATGCAAAAGTTGATTTTGAGGTTGTGAATGCATTTAACCTTATAAAATAATCCACATGAAGACGAAAATTCAACTATTTCTTTTTAAAACATCTTTTTCTCGCTTCATATTTACCATATTGACAAGCATAACACGAACCCGATTTTAAACCATTTTGAAAAATTAAAAATGCCATGATTATGTCAAAAACAATGAAGAGAAACAAAATTTAAACTTGATCTGTAACTCGTCAAGATACACTCAAGATATATCTTCTTACCAAAATTCAGCTCAATATCTTCAAGCATTTAGAAAAAGAGTGCGGAAAACCAAGCAGGACAGACTGACAGTTAGACGGAGGGACGGACGTACAGACGCAGAGGTCCTTTAGTACGCCACCTCCATTTTTTCCGGTAGGGGACTAATAAACAAATGAAAATTATATTCTCTTTCTCAACACACACAGGCTAGAAATACATGTAATATGAAACAGTAATTAATTATTCAGATATCTGATACAATGTATACCTACAAATGTCTTTTTGTTCTATTATCGTATCAGATTTTTATTCACATACAAAATTCATTCCCTTATTTTCACGATGAAGGACTCCCCCAGCTAACACAAAAACATTTTTAAAATATTTTAAAAACATTTTCAAAATGTTGAGAAAACATTTTTTAAAATGTTTTAATCACGTGATTTTGTATGGTTTTTTAAACGTTTTTAAAACATTTTAGTGAAATATTTCAGCAAAATGTTGTCAGAACATTTTCTTAAAATGTTGCAAAAACATTTTCAATAATGTTTTAATCACGTGAATTTGTATGGTTTTTTAAAGGTTTTTAAAACATTTTAGTGAAATATTTCAGCAAAATGTTGTCAGAACATTTTCTTAAAATGTTGCAAAAGCATTTTCAATAATGTTTTAATCACGTGAATTTGTATGGTTTTTTAAACGTTTTAAAAACATTTTAGTGAAATATTTCAGCAAATGTTTCCGGAACATTTTCTTAAAATGTTACAAAAACATTTTTCAACGATGTTTTAATCACGTGATTTTGTATGGTTTTTAAAATGTTTTTAAAACATTTTACAAAATATTTCGACAAATGTTATCATAATATTGTTTTTCAAATATGTCTTATTCACGTTTAAATTGTTTGGTTTTTAAAACGTTTTCAAAACATTAAAGTCGAGGTTACAAAAGTATTTTTCCTGAATTTTTAATTTTTCTCATTAAATAATGATTTATCTATATTTAAAAAAAAAATAAACACAAACTGTATTTGATTTTTGAACCTTTAATACAAACCCATATTCAATATGTTAATCACATTTAAATTCCATTTTCGGTACAAGTGTAACCAAGAGAAATTGCAAAAGTCGGTTTCCGTTTTACAAATTTATTAAAACTCCTAAAACTTAACAAAATCTACAAGGTCGGGAGTCGGTGGTCCGAGCGGCTTGGCTGTCGCTCTCCAACTGCCAGTATTCTAACATGACAATGAATATAAAGATACAAAGTGATATTTTAACAATAGAATTAATGAAAGAGTGAAGAACACAAATAGATATCAATTAACGGATTAATTAAATAAACTCAATGTCACTTTAATTGTTCACATTAAAAATCACTCAACGCGGCATGACAGGGGAGGAGGTGTTATGTCCTTGGGGTGCATTTCACACGGTGATACTTGCCTCTTCCTCCAATTGAACACGTCCTCGTGTTCCAAAGTTGCGCACATTTTTGGGGCCTGGCACTTGCCCCCTCTGCATAAGACCTGGAACCGGGATTAACACGGTCACTGTACCTGGGAAACTTAAACTGTCTGCCACTTAAACACCGTGTCACATCACGTATGTGCTTAGGAGATTGTCTATTGGTCCTGCGAAACTTTGTTGTAACTGTTTGTAGTTCCTTTTCTTTGTTTTGAATTACATTGGACATTCGTTTGACTTCCTCTTCCAGTTTATTAATAACTTTGTCGCGTTCTTTTAGCTCTGCTAATAACATTAAATGGCGCCTCTCAAAAAATGCTGCTCGTGCAGTTTGGTGGTCAGCCTTTTTACGTAGAACATTTATTCTGTGGTGTGCAGCCTCTATTTGATTCTGAAAGAGTTCCTCTTTAAAGTCCGTGTCCTTGATTTTTGAAAAGGGAAGTTCTGCAAGGATCAAACGGTTTTCATTAAAGTTCCGTCTCCTTTCTCTGTCGCGTTGAATTTTCCTAGCCGATTTCTTTGCTTCTGTTTGTGTTGAGCTCTCGGTCTTCCCTGTAACTTTAATAGCCAAAACGTCACTTCGGCGGTCAGATTTTTGTGTCCTACACATCCGCGCGAAATGTCCATTTCTGCCGCAACTAAAGCACTTGGATATCCTTGCAGCACAATAAAACCATGCATGTGTTAATCCGCATCTTCTACAAATAGGATTTACGTTATGTACAAAGTATCTCGAACGGTATGGTGTATCCCACGCTGGTCCAAACGAGTACTGGTACAAATCCATTTTGGGGGAAATTAGCTCTGAGGTACCTTACGGGATCGCGTATCAAGCTAAAAAGTTGATACCCGGATTCTCCACCAATTGTAACCAAGAGAAATTGCATAAGTCGGTTTCCGTTTTACAAATTTATTAAAACTCCTAAAACTTAACAAAATCTACAAGGTCGGGAGTCGGTGGTCCGAGCGGCTTGGCTGTCGCTCTCCAACTGCCAGTATTCTAACATGACAATGAATATAAAGATACAAAGTGATATTTTAACAATAGAATTAATGAAAGAGTGAAGAACACAAATAGATATCAATTAACGGATTAATTAAATAAACTCAATGTCACTTTAATTGTTCACATTAAAAATCACTCAACGCGGCATGACAGGGGAGGAGGTGTTATGTCCTTGGGGTGCATTTCACACGGTGATACAAGTTTTAATATTTTTTCTTTCAAGTCACCGGGTTTTTAAAGGTTAAAAACGGCGTCTAATCCATTCACTGAATTTTAAAAGAACAGAATCACAGAAATCCAATGTTCACTGTATAGGTCGAACAGAGTGGCGGATCTATAAGACTTAGTTAGAATCACATACACTGAAAAGGCTGATAAGAAATCTGCCCCTCGAAAAGAATAGCACAACCTGTAAAGATAAGGAAAATTGTGTTTGTATTTAGCGTTCTACATCTAATGTATCTTAAGATGATCAATGAAAATATACAAAAAATATTTTAAATGATAATATTAAAATAAAGTTATTCCCTCATTTGCATTGAATAAAGCAGAAAAATAATTACTATGACAATATTATTGAAGAGTAATAGTATTTACGTATACCTTTGCTTTCATCAAAGGCGGGTCTTTTGAATGTGGGAATTTGAAAATACGGATGATGCAACCAACACCATGCTGTAAAGAAATTTCATTTTTAAATCAACATATTGTTTGATGATTAACATTTCACAAAGACAACGAATACTTGAATCAAGGATATAATTGTGTTGCCTTAAGCATGTGTTAAGAATGAAATATTCAAATCAAATATGTATATAACTGTTTAAAGATTTGTCATTGCTACATACATTTGTACAAAGTTATTGATCATGCACTTGTAGTATAAAAGTCATTCTTAAATGATCTTTTAAAGCCTATGATAAAGGAATAATTCTTACCATACAAAGTTAATAAATCCCGAGGTTATTATTGTGGTTTATATGGTGCGAAGTCTTCTCATTCAAATCGGTACGGAGTAAGCGCGCACATCTTGTTTACCAGAATTCAAAATTTGGCCTAGATAATCAGCAAACCACTATACTCTGTAACGCGCTGCCCAGCAGGAGAATTGCATAATAGGTTATCATGACACTGAAACTGACCAGTGTGCCAATCCCTATCTAATGCCTCAGAGTAAAATTGTGGGAGTGGATCACAGATTTGATGAAGAACAATTTTTAAAAAAAAAAAAATTTAAGGGTTTTATTTAATGCTTATGATTATATACATTTATTTATATTTTAATTTTTTTTTTTGGTTTGCCTATCCTTTCATTTATTGATTTTTTGATTTGTTTAATCAAAGGACTTTATAATAATTATGTCTGTTTAATCAATAAGCCAAAAATAGAAATCATTATAAAATACCGGAATAACTCTTTCAATTTTCTACAATTCCTCAATTTAACACTATTCTTTCTATATTTCTTTTTTTTCTTCATAAACTAAATTTTAGGAAAATCGCAATCATACATTATTTGAATCTTTTAAGAACATTTTGAAAATAACAGCAGCAATGAAAAATGAAGTCTTTCAAAAAAGAAAACAAATTAAATTGAATGTTCTAAGATCATTCTAACAACATACTCTTAAAGTTACTAAATGAATTAATTTAAGCTGCAATTAAATAAATGTTTCAGAAACATTTTGAAAATGTTTCCAAAAAATGTTACAAAAACTATAACTAAAATGTTTCAATTGTAGTGAAAATAATTATTTTAGTTAATGTTTTAAATAAACATTTTCACTGCCTATCCGGAATTGAAGGTTTTTAACGAACAGCGATATTAAGAATGTTTTAAAAATATTTTAAAAATGTTCCTTACAAATTTTTCAGAAACGTATATGTAATGTTTCCGATTTACACAATAAGAATGTTTCATTTCATGTTTTAAGAACGTTTTTAAAACGTTTTATTAGATCTTTTATATTTGGAAGCTATAAATACCATTAAATGAATTAAGAATGTTTCAAAAACATTTTGACAACGTTCCTTCCAAATGTTTCAGAAACGTATTTATGCAATGTTTCAGATTTATGGAAAAGGAATGTTTCATTTCATGTTTTGAGAACGTTTTTAAAACGTAATATAAAAATCTTTGATATTTGAAAGCTAAACATACCTTTTGAAACATTCTTAAAACGTTTCAAAAATATTTTAGAAAAATGTTCCAAAAGGATTTAATCATAAGCTTCTTGAAAACATTTTTAAAATGTTTTTAAAATGTTTTAATAAGAAGAGTAAATGTTTTTAAAACATTTTTAAAATGTTTAGTCTGAAATGTTTCGAAAAAACCTTTTTACAACACCAATAAAATGTTTTGAAAATGTTTTGTGCTACCTGGGCCCGTCACCACGTGCTGATCCGCCCCCTTGATAACAACTGATTCGGAAAATTGTCTACAGATAACTCCTTCGGTAGTTGGAGCCTCGGACTCGCTGGTCCCCCCCCTCCGTTACACCGTCCACCCTCAGCACCCCCACGACCATTCAAAACAGTGGCCCCTCATCCACATTCCATTATATCATTCCTCCCGTCGTAAACACGGCTAGCGAAATAGAAATGCCTGTCTAAACCAGCTAAGCTTTCTTAGGTGGCAGAGGATAGTTTTTTTTGCAATCAAAACGTTTGACTGACGGTTTACTTAATATTGAGCTGCTTTAAAATTGTGCATTGAAAAATTTTAAATTCCCTCTACATGTAATAATAGTATGAAGTAGTCCCTTGAGAAATTTGAAGCTTTTAGGAATAAAACATGTACAACTTACAGAATGAGCCCTAAAGATGGCGCAGGGACAATCTCAAAATTTCATGTGAATCAAGCCTATTTTCACTATTTCGCCGCAGCCGCATCTGCTTCCAGGCCCGTGCGCCTGACCTAGGCTACCACACAAATTGCAGAATAACATTTGTACATACCAATGAACAGCAAGAGATAATGGCTCAACCACCTCGTTTTCAAGCTACAATTCATCCTGTGAACCCACCCCGCTTTTCTGGTGAAATACCGGTAGAGCGAGTTTTGAGCTTAGTTTCGTATTTCTAGTCCATATCCCATATACAGTAGTAGTGACACTAAAGTGTCATATTTCAATAAAATATACAAGGCCACCAAGTCCCTCCAAATGCACCCATAAAATATTCTAGCTATAAAATTACCTATAATATGCATTCAAATCTCAGGTTTCTCTATTTTTTCTATTTTTTGACCGGTACTTTATTCGAAACTATCCTCTGCCACCTTATTCCAATGTCCACCAGTTTATCAGTTCTTAAAACTGCAATATTTGACTCACCATAAAAACTTATACATTATGTAGGACGAGTTGAAACAAGGTATCCGGCTGGTGTTGCTACCACTTCCTAATCAGATCACTCTTTTTTTTCTCAACGCAAAAATAATCACATACTACATCCGTCTATGGTAACCAACTACGGTCAAAATTAAATTTACAAAATATACTGTAATATATATCACTTGATTTTAAAACGTAATATAATGTGGTCGTCCAGTTCTCTTTCTTGTTAAATCTATGTTCAACATGTGCCTGCCAGGAAAGTTGTTCGTTTATGATTTTATTGAAAATTTTATGTCAGCTTATCTAGATACGACTTTTTGGGACAACCATCGTATATAAAGTTAAAAGTCGTATTTTTTGCACTTGATATTGATAAGATGTTGTGATATCAAATTACCATTAAAGCAATTGAGTATTCAATTAAATAGAACTAAGGGCCATGCACTTTTGTTGAACTGTATCGTTGCACAGTGTAGGTTGCATATGAAAAACGGCAGACAGCATTTGACTCAATGATAAATTGTATTTGCTGGCATGTCCATTGTAACGACCAAAGAATTTACGAAAGTACCACGATTGTGGGTTTTGCACAACTTCCACCATAGAAGTCTTTATCTTTGTCCTTAATGGAGAACGCCATTTCATTCAAGTTATGATTAGTAATTATGTCATCTCCATTATCAAAACACTATTTGGGCTCATCCTTACCCACAGGGGTCATCTTTTAACAATCCTTAATCTTCAATACATGAGAATACTTATATATTCATTTACCCAAACAAGACTTTTGCTATTCCAAAGAAGATTTTTCAAGATTTTCCCCCTATATATTCCTGTGTAAAATTTTGATTCCCAATTGTATACCCTCGATCTAAACATTTGTTAGTCATGATTTGAACAAATTAAAATAGACACTAGCTTTATAGTAGCTTAGAATGCATCCATATCGATATGGAATAATATATATTTTTTAAAGAACAAATTTTACGTTCAATGAAAGATATTTTTATCGAGTGAAAGGTACAAACATAGACACAAGAATGGTCCCTACATATAAAAATGCAAATACCCAGAGAAATATGAAAAATCTACTGAGCAGCAGTTTGATACCGCGGATATGTTAAGGAAAACCGGAAAAGATATCTAGATGATTGTTTTATTATAATTATGGAAAAAGACATTTTGATTGAATTAGACCAAGATATAAAATTTACAATGAAAAAAAGTTCTACTCAATTACCATTTTAGATGTATTAATCTGCGAGGAAAAATAAAAAGAGAAGGAAATTATTTTTCAAGGATTGCTTCTTTATTCATTTAGGATTTTATTGTTCTTATCATCATCCTAGAGGTTTTCATGTTTTCTCGTGCCGTTCCCCAGTGTAAATGGGTCCTTGATTGTAATTGTTTTTCTGTGTATTGTCCGTTCAGATTCGAGTGTGAACAGAAATTGTACCACCAGGCACCACGTTCAAAGGTTTTTGCGCAACTTCCGCCCCACTTGTCGTTATCAATGTCTTTGGTGGAGAACGCCATTCCATTCAAGTTATGATTAGCAATTATGTATAGTCTCCTTGAATGATAATTAAAATTATATCAGCTTAAATGAAGTACGCAGCATTAGGTAGACACAGCTTATAAATATGTGCGTACTCTCAAAATGTAAGGAATATTTTAATGATGATGCACAATTACTATTAATTGAACAAAAACAGCAATTTTGTAAAGCGATAATGAAAAATATTCAAATTATGGTCTGCTTGACTTCTATAAAATCTTATTTAAAATGAAAATTTGGACTATATTCCAGACATTATCATGTGTAAGATCCCTTGGGCCAGGGATTTGCAAGCTGTCTTGAGAAGGACAAAGTTGCACGCAGATCTTTTATCCTATTTAAACTGACTCGATCCTATTTGGAAAGATGTTTTTTATGCTTTCTCTATGCTTTATCTAAATTATTTCTAATTATATATATTCGTTTAAAACCACTTCTAGAAGCAGCTTTTGATTAAAAAAACTTTCTTTTAATATACCACATATAATTTTTTACTTTTTCTTCATTTTCTTCCGTAAGAAGGAGTGATCCTCCATTAAAAAAAATGATACCCATTAAGAAAAAGAAAATGGTCCAGTGGTTTTGATAAAAAGGATTTAAAAAGATACAACGTCGACTACGACAGTCAACGGACAAATTTCGATCAAAAATTCTCACTTGAGCCTTCGGCTAAGAAGTGGAGAAGAATAAAAAAAAATTGTTGTGATGTTCTTATGTTATATTCTTATATTTTTTAAATGTAATTCATGCATAAATAATACTATCAGTTTATATCAAGATTGATTCAAATTACCTGCGTCCCCGCTGTATCCACTGATTGACAGTTTATACTTGTCTGATTCATCACCAATAGAAAATCTGGAGTACTTTGCATAAACTTTTGATCCATTAAATTTGGTCATTTCAATCCGAAGTTCTTGGTCATCATTTTTAGTTAGAGCATGAATTCTGTCATTCCCTGTTTAAAGAAAGATCAGACAAACATATACAAAGAATAGTATGGTTATCAATGGCTAAAATAATTTATGAAGAGAAAGGAGAATGTTTCAATAATTCAATAACGTCAAAAGATTATAGTATTTACCAAGCCAAAATTCCTGAGAAATATTCCCAAAACCTGTCTTGTAGTCATTCCAATCGCGATAAAAACTGGTGGAACCATCATACCTGTTCTGAATTACCTGTAATTTATTCATGTATTAGAGCGTGAAGAATTTTTATACTATTCATCATGGAAAAATTATTTTCCACATAAGTCACGTTTTAACAGGGACATGTAGTCTGCTTTTCTTATTTAAAAAGTAATGTTCTGGTATAACCAGCAAATGGCATTCATGTCGACGTCCCCCACCTAATTTGGTACAACAAAGCATGCTCTTAATTAATGCAATAATTTTTTTTATTTAAATCTAGGAAGGTTAGTGACAGATAAGTTAGTGTTAAAGGGGTTTCATGAACCTGATAAAATATATAAACATTTCATTAACTCTATAGTCGTTATAATGACCTGCATAACTAAAATGCAAATATATCTTTTCATTGGTGGTATGTTGTTTGGCATTTTTCATACATATTGGTTCCAGAGATTTCTGTTTTTGCTCTTTCTTTTTCCCTTTTACAGATTTTTATATTTTTGTGATAAGTTTTGGAAATCGATCAATGTTTGTTATTTTCACCTTTTATGTTCAATAGGAAAAAAAGAATATCTCTGAAGAAAAAACTGAGCCCAAACTGATGTATTCCTCACGACTTGGATCTACAAAGTCGTCTAAACCCTAATTTAATTCCCTTTTATCTGATGTTTTAAATTTTGCAATTCTCAAATTTAAAATTAAAATACAAAGTTACTGGTCAATTTAAATAACGCCTTATTACCGTCCAACCCCCTCCGTCCGCCGTCATATCACAATAAACCTGGACTGGATTTTTATCGTCAAGGTTGATTGTATAAATACCGTCCTTCCTCCAGGTAGAAGGGTCTTTTCTCAAAATATCAGCACAGTTTTTCTCTAAAATATCAGTGTTTGTTATCACAGATATAGTTTATAGTTATAGTATGATTAATGACTATTATTATTTTTATAAAAATTGTAACAATTATACGGAAGCCCATTTAGGACCTATCAAAAAATATTTTTGAATTCATTATAACGATTTTTAGAATTTGTTATAACGAATTTAATTTGTTATAACAGATTTTCAGAATTCGTTATATCGAATTTAATTTGTTATAACAGATTCATTGAATTCGTTATAACGAATTTAATTTGTTATAACAGATTCATAGAATTCGTTATAACGAATTCAATTTGTTATTACAGATTTAATGAATTCGTTATAACGAATTTAATCTGTTATTACAGATTTGTTGAATTTGTTATAATCAATTCAAGAATTTGGTTATAACAAATTCAAAAAAAATCTGTAATAACAGATTAAATTCGTTTTAACGAATTCATTAAATCTGTAATAACAAATTAAATTCGTTATAACAAATAAGTGAATCTGTTATTACAAATTAAATTCGTTATAACAAATTTAATGAATCTGTTTTAACAAATTAAATTCGTTATAACGAATTCAATGAATCTGTTATAACAAATTAAATTCGTGAAAACGAATTCACTGAATCTTTTATTACATGTTTAATTCCTTATAACGAATTCAATAAATCTGTTATAACAAATTAAATTCGTTATAACGAATTCTAAAAATCGTTATAACGAATTCAAAAATATTTTTGATAGGTCCTAAATGGGCTTCCGTACAATTATCATAAAAAAAAAATTACAAATTTATTGAACAATAAAACATCCTTGCATTGATAATGTAAATCTGTAATTTCATCCAATTTTAAAAAGTATAATTGAGCACCTAATTAATGTTTTTGAATGGTATAGGATGCATGTAAGGACATGGTCATGCCGAAAAATTTTAATGCGCGGCATGCAGTTCACCACAAAGCGCTTTATATAGGTGGGTAAACTGTCCCAACCACAGTAAAACCTGTCCATTAAAACTTTGGTAATTATTAAATCCATTCCTTATAATTTAATTTTCCACTATAAAATATTTGAATTTAGTCAAATAAACTTTCAAAAATGTCTTTAACCCTCTTCACCGTAGTCACGCATTTTAACACACATACCATTTCCTATTTCTAAAGCAAAATCACTATAAAGTGATTTCAGGGAAAAAGTAACGTCATTTTTTTATGACATGAACATTAAGTGTTTGTTGGGTAACAGTTCAGTAAGTTGTAAGGAGTTAAATTGAGCAAATTTTAAAGGTAACGTCAAGCGGATTTATACATTTTGACTTTAAAAAATTGTGAGGTAGGCAACACCAATTATACTATATAGACTAATTTTTTAATCAGATCTAATAACGCATTACAAACAATATCAAATTATCATTTAATAATAATTATTAATTTTGCTCATTTTTTAAAATTGTAAACAACGATCTTGCCAAATATTCTTAAAAACATAACAATCCAATTTGAAACGATTACTTTTTAGCAATATTCATGTCCCTGCCAAATCAGTTAATCATCGAATAGTTATTCATCAAATAGATCGAACTTAATCTATTTCTAATCTATTGACAAATTTCGTGAGATTTTAAATCGTAATGCATGCATTCAGTAAATACGTACCTTAAAATATTCTAATTGTGTCCAACTTTATCAGTAATATTGATTAATTGACATAGTACTGTGAAATCACAATATCGTCGGGTTTCATTTTCGTTGTTTTCGAGGCATGAAGAGACCCACAAATTCAAATCCACCACGAAATGTAAAATGTTACATACATAACTACTCAACAATTCTTCATCCACGATTTCAAAACCTCACGAACCAAGAGTTTTTATCTAAACCACGAACATTTGACCCACGAAAATATGTGATTTTACAGTACATTTTGCTGTTAACGTCAAATATGAAAATTTTTATTCAAAAAGAGCGGCCAAGGGCTTAAAATTTAAATCTTAACTCGTTACTGAGGGCCACTGAGCAGTGAGGGTCCTTTATCGTACCAATGTCTACAATGCTGATGCCCCATTCTTTAACCTGTGAATGCCGGGCGCTTGAAGGAACAGTTCCTACCTATGTTTGCTTCTTAGATTGACTCAGATTGATGACGAAAGGAGAAGAAGAATTCAACCCAGGCCTTCCGATCTTGTCAATCAAAAGAAGAATTGATTAAGGACCAATTATAAACATACCATATTTTGTGTTATTCAAAATGGTTCCTGCTGGAAGTCTGTAATTGGAAGTGATGTCCATTGATAGTGGAGTTTTGATCTTTGCAAATGATTTGATGTATTCCCATGGAGCAGTTTTCAAGTAATTAGATATTTGATCTAAAAGAAAAAAACCGTTACTTTTATTATTTCTGATTATTCAATAATTGAAGCGTAGATTTTTTTCTTTGGAAAACATAGTGAAGGGGAAAAATCTTCGCAGTTGGTCAAATAAGTCAGAAAACATTAAACATTAGATATAAAGAATTAAAGATACATTGATTACCTTTCGCTGCATGGTTTGGTTGAAATCCATACACTTCATAAAGCAGCAACATGACAAACAAGGTTAACACCTTCAGTATGTATTTTTTCTTTTGAATTGCTGAAACAATAAATAAGTGTAAAGAAATAAATACTGCATACATGTATCTATAATCAGTTTGAAATATTGTGAAATAATGAATAAAATTTTTACCAATGTTTAGTTCATTGAAGACATATTAGAGCATTGCTTTTATATTTCATGCTTACGTAAAGCCCATCATAAAAAAACCATGATATGTGATAGTAGATCTTTAATACTATATTGCGTGTCAACAAAAAAAAAATATTGATATAGGTAAGTGCTGTGAAAAAAAGAAACATAAATATTAGTCTTTCTCTTTTCATTTATGGCATAAATACAATAAATGAGAACAGCATAAAAATTTATATATTCAGTCTACTTGTCTCATTTGTATCATGAATCTTTACAAAATATTAAGTTATTTTTCAACTTTCTATTTGGAAACAAATTGTAAAAAAAAAAAAAAAACAACTGGATACAGATTATTTCCACTCAATGTAAGGTTTATTACAATGCGAAATATATTAACAACTCGAAATGTAACAAATCGGGGTTATTACATTTTGAGTAAGAATATTTGGCGTCGAGATCAACGCAGAATGTAATTACACAAAAAATGAAAACAGATTTTAAGATTATTACATTGAATTGTGTTCGGGAATAAGGGATCAGGTGCCGAAGAGGATTGAGCATCCCCTGCCCACCGCTCTTACCCGCCGTGTGCTTTTGTTATGTTTGGAAAATGAAAAAAAAAAGCTGTAGATAGTTATGTGCATAAATTATGACCAAACAATTTGAATGATAAAAGTCAATCAGCATTTGACTTAAAGATACAGTGTATTCTGTATTTACTGAGAAGGAATAGACCTTAGAATTTCAATACCATTGTTTTCCTCAAGTTGTTTGTCATTAGCTTGACTGGATAAAAAAAATTGTTCAACTTTTGTCTTGAAGACCATAGAGCTTGCAAAATAATGACTTTCAACGAGATTTTTGATATACCTGTTTAACCTTGCTTGTCGATAGGTTGCTTAGTGAAAAAACTGTATGTACGTAAATTACGCACTTACGATTCGAAACAAACTCTGAGGTCTGAACACCGTACGTAGGTTATTTAAGGAATCACTGTCTAGTTAGTATAGTATCCAGGGCATCAACAATAGTGGGAAACATGGGATAATTTGCATAACGGGCGAAGCCCGTTATGTATAAATTATCCCATGTTTCCCACTATTGTTGATGTCCCTGGCATACTATACTAACTAGACAGTGATTCCTTACATTTCTATTTTATTGTGAAATAAAATTGTATAGATTTAGATTTTTAAAATGTAGACATAGATTTAAATTACACGAGGACTCCCATGCCAATTTCAATAGTCCTCGGCCACTGACGTCAAACACAAAGGCAGCCGCACGAGATTTACATGCATATTTGGCCTCCACAGCGTCTGATCATGACACAGACACAGATGCGCACGAGATTTGCATGCATATTAGGCCTCCTTAGCCCCTGACCTATTGACCTGCCTAATTTACATTCTGGTAGAATTATCAAGAAATCAACTCCGCTAACTTTCAAAGGGTTATCACAGAGAGAAAAATTAGAAATGGAAATATAAGGGTATGTTGCTTCGTAAGTAAGGGAGTTGACAATCGAATTTTTGAAGTCAAACGTTTATCACATAAAACTTTGTTGTTATGTTACTCTAATGAATTATCCAAATATGAAACTGTTGTGTCAGACTGTGTGGCATCTTAAATATAAAGCTCATTGAAATATATTTAACCGAAGTAAGAAAGTAGATTACTAATTGATAATTGATAATACGTCGTTGATACATCTAATTGTCGAGTTGATGGCCAGAGAAAGCGGTTTCTTCCTCTTATACATAAAATTACGAAAAGAAACTTTTTAAGCACTTCTTTTTAGTTATAGACATGTATCAAGAAGTTTTCAAGCATTTTTTTTACTTGTGTTGTGTATCTTATTACAGCATATTTTTGCCCCCGTTTTTTAGGCATGAAATTTTACCTTCTCTTTGATTATGATGAGTCGTTGCAAAATTAATTATCAAAATTTGAATCTAAGAATGGTTGTATTACAATCTTTGAGTTCTATTTGAAAGAAATATGATAAATTGTCTTTTTCAATTGCAAAACATAGTAACTAGTAGCTAATCTAACGAACTTATAGAGTCAAATTGTTTATGAAAACTTTAATAACATCGAACTGAAACTGTAGATAAAACTTAGTTTAAAAATTATTTTTTGTAAACAAAACAATACTATTTATTAATCTAATTAAAGAGTAAACTGTCTCAAAACAGGGTATTCCAGGTTTCTCCAATCTCACTTGTGTATCTATCAAATTCATTCCTTATAATCTAATTTTCCATCTATAAGTGTAAAAAAAAAGACAATTACTGTATTTCCTTTATAAATACATTTTTATAAAAACTAGTACAACCTTAAAGTCAAGCGGATTGATACTTTTTTGACCTTAGTTATTTTAAAGCAAGCAAAACATACAATGTAAATTAAATGTTCTATCTACTTTAATGGTATGTTACAACCAGTATAATTATATACATATAAACAAACATATAAATACGAGTTTGAAGACAGGACCGTACAATTTATTTCAGTAGCTATTCTATTGTTTGCTGCATTTCGTTTAACTATTTCAGTTGAGATTTTATTTTCATAACAACTTCATCATTTATGATTCTACAGGAAGTGATATTTTAATAACAGTTACAAAATTCAAATGAAGCCAAATATTTTTTTCTACGAATTTGACTTTTACACTTGGTCATGTACTTATACTTGGGACATTTATATTATAACACCATGTAAACATGGTATATACTTCCTAGCATATAAAGTAAGCAGATGCTACACTAACACGTGAATGTGTTGATTTCCTTATTATTGAAATGGTCTATCTTACATGTACTTTAATTTAACAGGTGTTTTTTAAACCGAACTTTCCTCTCAATTTACATTACTCGTGTTTTTTTTTATTGTTTTTCAATAAATGCAATTATTTACTAGGATGATATAAAATACGGTCCCCGGTTAATTGACAAAAATTAAATGTCCAAATTTTACACTAAGTTTTGCATCCAACTAATTGTTTATATGTGTACCTAAATGGAATACTTTTTTAACAAAAAAGAAATATAATTCGGATGATATATATTTTTCATTTGTGTAGGGGCATCACGTTTACATCCTATTCCCACTGAATTTTGGCCCCGTCCAATTCATTGATGACAAATGACCATATGTATTTCAGCATATCAGTAAATACAAATTTAATGTGCATTGCTTCATCTAAAACGATAGACGTTGAGGTTCCATGGGAATTGTCATGAATAAAAAGTTTGTCGAAAGTGTGAAATGGAAAGGGAAAAATATCTTTAGTATAGCCAATATCTATATTGACCTTAGCCATGTGTCTGTGATTTGATAACTATCTAGTAAATCAGCATGTTTTGTCATTCACTCATCGGATTGGACAATTGTTCTCTGTAAGCGACCATGGCTAAATAATAATAGTCATATTAGGAAGATTCTTCGGACATGCATGTATGCATGTACTTATACTTGCCTATTTTTTAATCATTATTCATAAACGAACACACGGTCATTAACAAGAATTTTTATACATGTAGTATACTTTTCAAAATTATAAACAATACACTTCCGACACAATTTAAAAGGAGTCATTTTCCTCCACTTTTGTTTGAAAATAGTCAAAATGATTGTAGAATTTATATAATTCATTGTAGAAAAACACTAGTTTTGTTATCTTATCCTTTGAACAAAAACAATAAAAAATCTAATTATATTTACATTATCTGAGTGGAATTTACATCAAGAGGCAAGAAATATCTGTCTTATCTGGAATCTTAAACGAATCTGTTTCTCCGGTGGTCATTTTTTAAGAATATGAATTTATAAATATAAAAAAACGAAAAAAAAATTGGATTTTAGATAGTAGAAACCTAACAAAGATTCACCTGTTCTAGTTTGATTTAGCAAACTCATGCAACAAACCCGTTTTACGGGCGTCATGAACTAATCCAAACCGTAAATATTTTTTTTTATTAAGAATAAAGTGACATATTTCTCTGCTTCGAGTAGATCTACTCATTGGATTACATTTATAAATTTATCATTATTATATTATAATTATTTTTTAATTAATTAATTATAATTATTTTTTATTATTCATAAAGGAGCGCAGGGTGGGTGTGACTGGTCAGCAGTGTATGCTCACTCCCCGATGGCACCTGATCCCACCTCTGATGTCTTGTTTGTTCTACTCCTATCTTGTTTTGTTTTATGAAACTTTGATTTTGAATACTGTTCTTTATTTCCATTTTCCATATGTTTCATTTAAAAACAACTGAAACGTTTTTTGAGTTCCTGGATATAAAAATTTATTCGTGTTTCCTGATAATATATTTCGGATAGGATATTTCCCTATATAATATGATTCATAATAATGAGGAACCTAAAATAAATAATATTGTTTTATACACGTTTAGATTTAAAGTATTTTGTGAAATCTGACATTTTTACGAGAATTTTCAATTCTATGAATTTCGAGCCTGTTGAACTAACTTCTTTAATTCTTCCTTCTACATAATGACATATAATAAATAAAATATACATTAGTTAAACCGTCATATGGATAAAATATTGGAAAATTTTGAAATTTTGTAATAATGCTTGACTACAAAAAGTTGGTTATGGTTACATTAGTATGACAATGTATACAAATAATATAAATTTATATGCAATTAATATTAATGTCCCAATTATCATGAAATATTTCCTCGCTTCAAAACACCCTTCTAAATGATAGCATAATCAAGCAATAAGCCCGATAATAATTTATTATATATGTACATCAATGTGCATTATTCAGCATATGTACGTTGTTACTAATATGTACAAGGATAAAATACAAGGTTAAAAGAATGAAATGTATATTCAGATATGTTAATCACACGTTCATTTATATTTCAAATATATTTCACTTATTAGCTGTACAATCTATAGAGATCGGCAATTGATTCATCGGCAATTAATTCTGGTTGACAAAGATAAAAAAAAACACATAACAATTAAAATTCATAGTATACACAATTTCCATTTAAAATTAACTCCTTGAAAACAATTATATATTAAAAATCATATCATCAAAAAGTTGGTTGTAAATCAATTTGTTTATGAAAAATAAAACAATTAAAAGAAGTTGAATTATCTGTGCCTTGAAATTGAGTTGAGTATGTAAATATGATAAATTATGAAATAAATATGACATACCGAAAATATGACGTCATTTAGTTTGTACATACATGTATTATTTTTTTTAAAAAGTTTTCAACAGAAAAGTTTTACATGACTCATTTCTGTATTTATTTCCCTTAAAAAGTTGTAATAATTGCCCAAAGTTCTTTCTCACTATATTTTTTACGATAAACAGTGTTGTATAATTCTTTGAAAAATAACAAATTTTCAAAATGGTTTTGGTGATGCATGTTCTCCATATTATCGAATAGAGAATGCACTAAAATGGTGTCCTTTGAAAGGTTTAAGAAAATATGGGAAAAAATTTAGACGTTCAAGACGTCCCTATAAGCACTTAGTAGGTCATCTGAGAAATACGATTTGTATACATGTATTCCTACTGCATGGAATTTCAACAGTTCAAAAAGTCAGAGTTTTAATTTCTTACATCACCTTTATATATTAGAAAACACTGGGCAATATATTTCTTGAGACCCTACCTTGTTTTAAAAAATACATGTAAAAATTTATGATAGTAATTTAAAGTCACACAAACAGTTATCTGAGATTTAACTAATTACTTTGTTTCCTTTTTCGTGTCTCGGAATGTTGAAAACATTGGATGCATTTCCTGTATTGAACTTCTTCCGCTTATTTTTGAACTTCGAAACAAACGAGAATAAAAACTTCCTCTGGAATATTCGTTCCGGCTACCATTGACATGAGATCTTCGTTTTGAGGTTGTATCATACACCCCTTCAGAGAGATCCTTATATGGATTCTCTTCGAATTCCTCCTCTGGAATCGTGGCATATACGTTATCAATACTACAGACTGTCTTTCTAGAAACAGGTCGACCGACATTTTCTTTACTGCGTCTTGTCGTTTTGCTCCTATAGAACAGAATAGAATCCCTGGTAGAAATGGAAACAATCTCTAGTATTTTATTGTTGAACCCTATATTTTTCTTTCCATCTTACATTGACAAGAACAGTTGCTACAATACGAAGGAAATATGATTGATTTTACTGTGATTCTTACTTATTCTGTCTAAATCGCTTGACTGCTAGAATTCCCACAATAATTATCGTCACTTCCACCACTCCGATTCCCACCATCAGAATCACTGTTTAAACAATGCAAGAAATATAAAGCTTCCTACATAGATTCATTTTATCTTATTTAGTCATTTTACAACAATCGTAAACAAACTCATGTATTTGAATTATTTCAAAAGGCTAATAACAATTAAATAAATAATTAATCTTTTCCTTTATATCACAAGGGTTAAATTACTAGAAATCTTGTTTAATTAATATGACATAAAAAAAACTGTTTTATGAATGAAACATAAAGCAGCAGGAATGGTGTTAGAGTAGGTTTTTTTCTATAAACAGTTAAGAATTTTAACTTTCAAACCCATTTCTCGACCGAGAGCAGACGTTGTGGGTTTCGTTGACGATACCGCATTTATTGTTGTCCTTGATGAGTTCGGTATTTCTGAATTTATTGTATGTTGTGTGTCTGAAATCAAAGCCGAGATAAATATTGATTTCTCTTGTATAAATAGAGGATATTTAATGTTTTGTCGTTGATAATGGAATTTATTGAATTCATTCGTGAGGAAGGGTTTTTTTTTTAATATTTTCACTCGTGCTAATCGCACTCGTGAAACTATTAAAAAAAATCCTGTTTCACGAGTGAAATAAATTCCATTTTCAACTACAAAATATTGAATTTTCAGTTTACATTTTCTCTAATTTTCCCTTTACCTATTTGTCTTCTTGTAATACAGTCACAGGCTACATGACGTCATATTTGACCGGTTGATACGTCATAGCTAACTGATGCAAGATTGAAAACATAGTATACATGGATTTCAGACATAATTTGGGGGGAATTTTGGCAGTCTTATTCTCTGTCAGAATGGTTTATTTACACACTCTCTCTATATATTATTATAACAGCCCTAGGAATATTTTTACGACAATTTTCGTTATTGGAAGGTAAATCGAGAGTTTTACCGCGCTTCTGATATTTGTCACACTGTGAAAGGATACCATTTTTATTCAATGAATAAATTACAGTATTTCACTTTTAAAATGTAATAATACCGGGTACATGTATACAGAAATACTATAAAATCTTTCAAAACTCCTGCTTTGAAGGAAAGAACAAGGTTCCATCAGATTAATCATAGGTTAAGTAGACATTTATCCACTTATTGTACTTGAGTTCTGAGGAAATGATTGCTTTGAGGAACTCAGAACTCTAAGTCAAATCACTTGACTCTCAATGTAAAAGAACTATATGCGGTATATTGCATATATTTGCCCCCACAAAAGTCAAATTTTGAAAACTTCCTGAAATGTGCTGAATTCAATATATTGTATGAGAAATATAAATTAACAGAAAATATTAGAGTTTCAAAGCAGTGTATTCACAATTTTTGTTTTTATGACGTCACAAACTAGTCCGATTTTATATCTTTTTTCAGAAAGAGAACAAAATGGACAAAATTTCAACAATTTTAGCTATAGAATTTATAGAGCGCAAGTTTGTTCAGGAACAATATTGACATATTTCATTGATATTATCATTCTACACAATATATCAAAATATTGATCCTGAACACGCATGCACTCGGTGACTTTTACTCAAAATATTGACGAGATATGTACATTTTTCTGTAAAATTCATAAAAAACTTAAATTTACGTCATGTTTGTGACGTCATTAGGTACATATGACGTCATTATTTATGAAAATATTCAGTGCTTTGAAGTCAGCATATACTCCCCTGTTTAAGAAGAACTGAATTAAATATATCTCCATCAAAGTTTGATTTGGGGGGCAAATATTGGTTGTTACCGAATAAAGTTCTTTACATTTATACATGTCAAATCTACATTTCAATTGAACTCTTGATAACGTCTTTTACATATAGAAATTTCAATGAATATAAACGTTAACTATAATCAAGTTAAATACCAGGAGAAGCTTCTGACAAGCTTAAATAGCTTTCAACAATCTCGTTTAAAGAAGGTTTTTTTTTAATCTTTCTAAAGAGAGTAAAGAATTTTAACTTTCAAACCCATTTCTCGATTGAGAACAAACGTTGTGGTTTCCGTTGAGGTTACAGCGTTCAGTGTTGTGCTTGACGAGTTTGGTATTTCTGAATTTGTCGTATGTTGTAAGTCTGAAAGCAAATCCGAGAGAACTATTCATCACCCTTGTATAATACATGGTACATGTATACAGAAACGATATGAAATGTTTCAAAACTTCTGCTTCAAAGGAAAGAGCAAGGTTCCATAAAGTTAATCAAAAGTTTAGTAGACACTTATCCACTAAATGTACTTGATGTCTGAGGAAATGATTGCATCGAGGAACTCGGAACTCAGTGTCAAATCGTTTGACTTATAATGTAACATTTAAGCATCGAATTATCATTTTATGAAAGATGCAGTCTCATAACTGCAATGATGTGTGCAAACAAATTGAGTAACGCGCGTTATGAAAATGTTTTTGCACACACCATGGCAGTTACTGGACTGCATCTTTCAAAAAAATGATAATTCATTGCTTTTATTTACATTTTGTATCCCCTGTATTTTCTGCAATTTTAATTTTATTATTTAAAAAAGTTTAAATGATAAACTATATTTTTGCAACAAAGCACTACAAATGAATCTTATTATAGACATAAATTTTTCGCTTGGTTTAACAGTAACGACGTAGTCCCTGTATTCATATGCCCGACAAACTTTTGTGATTATGTCTTTGTGTTATGTGCATTTATCCGTTGTAAATTTATAATGCTTTCTATAAGGGTCAAACAAAGTAAATGTAAATGTTTAAATTTATACTTGTCTCTCTACATTTTAAATTGAACTCTTGATAAAAAGAAATAACACTGGAGAATCTGACACCTCTTTTTCATACAGAGATTTGTTACTGAATAGAAACGTTAGTGATCATCAATTTGTAAACCATGAGAAGCTACCGACAAGTTATTGATCTTAAATGGTTTTCAATAATTCCGTTTTCAGTCGGTTTTATGCAAATTCTAAAGTAGTTATCATGAACTTGTCTGTAAATACATCCTTTCTATTGGTAATTTTTTGTCTGACATGCTACAAGCCTTTTGTTAATTTACTGCTTTATTAACACTTTTGAGTACGAAGTGATCACTCTGAATCTTACATTACCTGAATAATACATAAAGCTCAAAGCGGGTATGTCCTGTCAACGGGGGATGTTTACTCCTCCTAGACACCTGATCCCACCTCTGATGTTTCCGACGGTCCGTGTTTTTTTAAGAAATGAAGCTTATTTCAACTTATGTTGTACGATATAACATTAGTTGGTGTTATTTATGCTTTCTAAACCGCGAAGCGGTTTATAAAAAAGCGTAAATGGCCCCAAGTTATGTTATATCGTATAACATAAGTTGAAATGAGCTTCATTCCTTTTAATTTAATTTCAATGGAGACAATGTAAATTTTTTTTTCTTTTTTCCTCCGGAAAAGGGCTTCAGATATAGCATATTTTAAAAATTTATGTTAAGCAGAGTAATACGTTTCTGAAGTAACTCATTGTGACGTAGGCAAATTATGTTATACAAA